CTTAGAAATTAGTATAGATTTTCCTTAGAATTACCAAAACAAGTGAAAAGTGTGTAATTAATATATACATTATTTTATTTGTATTTATTTCATACATTTTAATATTACAATTTATTGTCAGCTATTCACAATAAATTGTAATATTAACTAAAAAGCAAAAAAAAAAAAAAAAAAAAAAAAAAAAAAAAATAGAAGTGTTTTATATTCAGTTAAACAGTTAAACACAAAATCCTTTCAAATATATTATATAATATTAAAGTCTATCAGTGGGTAAACGTAAATCTGAGAGTAATATTTTCTAACCGGACTTTTGAAATTGTAAAGTAGACAGTTGTACTGCATTTACTACGTCAAAAATGTTTAAGTCATACATATATCTTAATAGTATATAAAATGATATAGTATACAAAATGATATAGTATATAAAATGAAGACTTTAGCTTTAATATCAGAGGGACACAGACAATATATATGAATATTTATATACAAAATTAATATACGCACATCAGATACGTGAATACCGACTTAATGAAATTTTAAGAATTTGCTAAATTATTACACAGCCATTTAGGGTATATTGGTTTCTAAAAATGTGTGTGCAGAAGAAGGTCTTCCAGATCCCAGCGCTCGAAATGAGTACTTGTGTATGTGTATGTATTGGTATTGGTATATGTGGTATATGTGAGTGCATATATATTTTAAAGAGGCATAGTTGATATAGGGTATTCCCTAGTGAGCACTCCCTTTTATGCTACTCTTCGTTTCGTTTTAGTTAAACAAAAGTGTTGTCAATTCCTGGCAATGAACAGTTAAAATCTATTTGTGTTTACTTAAACACACGCTCGAATACATATCTGTACACATACACATACGCACTTACACACACACATATATATGTATACACTCGCTAGTAAAGAAAAGTGTTTATATGTGGTTTGACCTTGGCATGTTCGCAACTTTTCATGCGTATATCCGATTAGCATATATGCATATCAATTTATATGCGTATAAAACGAGCTATACCCGCCCTCTCCTTTCTCTCACTCTCTCTCTCTCTCTCTCCCTCTCAGTAAATATGCCCAAATGACACTTTCAATAGTTTGGCGCAATTTGCATGCTTGACACCGACGTCAAAGTTTTTATATGCAGTGCATACCACCCATATAGGTGGCTGGGTACACCCACCCAGCCAGCCCTACCAGCACCCTCTCTCTGCGAGTGCGGGAGCGCTCAGAGAGCTCATGTCACTCAAGCGCCACGCTGCGACACAGTTAAGTCGATCACCGGCGTGCGGGCGTGCGACTAGATAAGAGCTAGAGCTAGAGCTGTAGCTGTAGCTGGAACTAGAACTGGTTCATTGAACTACTACCGCCCAGCTTGGTGCTGCCGCCGCTGAAGGACTTGAGCTGGCAGTAAACACTTTTATTTTGGGCGCCAATTGCAAGTGTAATTGACATGGTTTCGTTTTGCCAAAATAGACAAACACAGAGATCGTGTGGGGAACTGGTGTGGCCACCCTCGCATTTGCACGAGTTAATTTCTATTTCGGGCCATGTTGCATGTGTGCGGAATTGAGCTCAGCATAAATTGCAAACTAATGCAAAATAATTTGATTTATATTTAGCTGCAGTCGAGGGCACAGTAGGTCACTCGGTCAGTCACTCAGTCACTCACTCAGTCAGTCAATCAATCAATCAAGCTGTTACACTTTTGCATCCACAGCGCCAAGGCGGACAAGAATCGCATCAATCTGAATATTGTGCTGGCCCAGACCATACGCGCCACCAACGAGCAGGAGGCGATTCACAGCGACATCGACAGCGCCACGGAGTGCAGCGAGTTGCCCAAGCAGCAAGCAACAGCAGGAGCAGCAGGAGCAGCAGCAGCAACAGGAGCAGCATCCACCACAACCGAGCAGAACGTCTCCTCTGCTCTGACCGTGCAACGGCGTCCGCCTCTGGTGCGCGCCATGTCCGCTCCGGTGCGTCTGGACGAGAGCAGCAAGTCCGTCCTGGCCGCCTCCAGCAAGCGCAGCCAGCAGCAGAAGCTGCGCCGCCGCAAGATCTTCTCGCGTACCACCTCCTCGGTGGCTGTGGCCGTGCCACCGGACAGCAGCAGCAGCTCCCTGCTCAGCTCCGATGCCGGCGGCTCCACTAAGAAGTCGCTGAGTCGTGCGCGCAGCGTCATTGCGCCGGATGTCATCACGCTCGTCTCGCTGCTCAGCTCCGAGGGCAGCGACTCCGAGCGGGAGGAGAACTCCGCGGCGGCCACGCCCACCGGCGGCGAGAAACTGTCGACGTCGACATCGCAGCGCAGTCCACAGCGCAGGGCGCCGCTGCTGCGCAAAACGGGCAAATCGGGTAAGTCCAATAAGAGTGCACAGTAAAGAGTAATTCCAATTGGAATATGAATGCTAATGTTACTAATTCTGATTTTAGTTATGTGAGATGCTGAGAATAGTTATCAATATATGTATGTCAGTTTTTAGTTAGAGTTGGTATGGATTTCAATTGGAATATGTGAGAGCTTTACATATGTATTTCAATTAGTGTTATTCTGGAAATAGGTAACTATGAATGTTAGTTTTGAGTTAGGGTTTATAGAAAGTATAGAGATTCTACAGAGAAATGGATAATCTTGAGTTTAGAATATAATAAAATTCCAATTGGCATCTGGATGATATAATAAATTCAGATTCAGATTCATATTATATTAAAACTCTAATTGGAGTGCATGAGAACTTTACAAAATTAAATTAGAAGAATGCTGAAAATAGTTTCTAAATAGTTTAGTTTATAAATGGAGCTTATAAAAACTATCAAACCCTTTTGAAGTGGATAATCTGAATGTTATATTAAATTGAATTGGAATAGGTTATATCTTGACATCTCCAAATTTAAGTTAGTAAGTAAATTCTCTGGCTTGGCATGTTAATTTCTAGTTAGGGCTAGAATATATCCACAACTTCTCGAGAATTATAAACTAGAATTTTCAGTAAACTTAAATTCTAATTAGAATATGTGAGAGCTTTATAGAGTGCAATTTGAGCTAAGTGAAATGCAGAGAATTGTTGGCTATGACTATCTACTAAGTAATTAGTGCATTGTTCCAATAGTCCAAATGTTAGTTCAAGCTGAAGGCTTCAGCTATCAGTGCTTAATTCTTAAATTAGTCTTAATTTTATACCTAATAATTATAATTAAATAAATGTTAGATTCTATTTAGTGCACATGGAAAATATTTAAAGCTTTTTGATTTGATTAACCTAAATAATCTCTAAAGATAAACTGATTAGAAGCTTTGGGAAGCATTTCTATTCCTCCATATGATTTATATAATTAATTAACAGGTTAATCAATAGTTCCATCTGCTTAGCTATTTAGTTAGTTAGTCTCTGGCTTAGTGGAGATGCTTAAAGTTTAATCTCTTCCATTTGATTAACAATTATATAATTTATATTGTTTATCAACATGGTTACTATTATATAAATATTTATTCACATAGTTCATCATTGTCCGCCGCACTAACTCTTGTTGCAGTCTCGTTTCAAGATAGCTATCCGCCCACCTTTCAACTGGCCTCCAAGGAGTACTCGCACATGATCAGGCGCGGATCGATAGCGCCGCTGGCAGCGCGGATTCGTGCCAATCGGCCGCCGACGGCGCCGCCCGTCTCCATATTCCTGAGCGAGGCGGGCAACAAGCCGGGCGCTCAGATGGAGTCCAGGCAGCAGGAGCTGCTGGCCGACTCGGCTGGTTCGTCCGCGGAGGAGGCCAAGAAGGAGAACAATGCGGCCAACTGTAATGTGCAGCAGCAGCAGCAGCAGGAGCAGGAGCAGGAGGAGCAGCAACAGCAGGACTACAATTTCCCTCTGTACGTGTGCAGCATCAAGGAGCGCGAGTGCTGGAAGCTGCACCAGAAGATGTGCGCCAAGGGCGTCAGCGTTAGCTACGACACGGTGCTGCGCGGCATGCTGACGCCCACGGAGTTCCGGCACTTCCAGAAGCAGCGCGAGCACGAGGAGGCCAAGGCGCAGGAGGCGGCCGACGCCGAGGCTGAGGCAGCCGCCGCCGCCGAGAAGGACCACAAGAAGACGCCGACCACGGCCATCGAGCGGCTCTCCGAGTCCCTGCTGCAGCGGGACTGAAGCGCACCACACAGAGGACCAAGTTATATGCATTTGCCTCTCTCGAACAGAGAAATCCAATTCAACGGCCCCAAGGCAGGGCCCAGAGAGATCTTCATTCCAGTAGCAGTAGCGCGCACTCGTTAATTCGCAATGCACCCAGCTGCGGCAGCCTTTTGTAGTTTCTATCCGAGCTATCTGTATCTGTAGCTGTATCTAAATCTGTATCTATAGCTGTATCTGTAGCTGAGAGCAATAAAGTGTAGCAATCAAAAGAATTCCTCCCTTCCGAGTCGAGTCTATGGAGCAACTTTATTTATTCAATAAAAATACGTATGCATAGAAAGCAAGAATTAAAACTAGGACGGCCGCGCGAATACCCTGTAAAGCAGAGTATCGAAGGGGCGGCACTGGATGTTCGTTAGTTGAGCTTGGCTTATGACTAGGAAAATGGCTAAAACATCGAAAAGTTAAGAAATTTCTAATGATTTGTTGCGTTTTCATGTTGAGTGCGAGGTTCGCTCAGTGAGTTGTAGGGAAAATAATTAATTAAAATTTTTGGTATATTTTGTTAATCATTTCATCATCATGATATATGCTTAAAGATATATTAAGAATATTTTAATTTCTTTAGATGGACTTGAAGTTGAAAATTAAATGCAGCTAGTTAAAGAAAGTTTTGAGCTAAAGAATTTAAAAACTGCATGAAACTTTTCTAAGAAAAACTCACTATGAAAAAATAATTGAATAAATTCACATAATTGAATAAATTATAATTTTTACTATGGATAATAAAACTAAAATTCACAAAAATTAAATTAAAAAAAAAAAAAAACAATTTGTATAAAATAAAAAAAATCAAGTTATAGAGTTCTTATAAACATGCTGAGCGACCCTCGCCTTACTCATAGAGTTTTTAGGAAAATTTCGCCTGCTTTGAAAAGAGTTAAGAATTCTAATTGCTTAGCAGAAAATTTTAGCTAGTGCACAGAATATAGCTCATATATGCATATAGATCTATATATTTAAGCGGACAGACATGAGATCCATAATATATAATAAAATAACATTGAGTTTAGCTAGCTCCTGGCTGATCCTTAGTTCGACTGGCGCGTGTGCCGTATGACCGAGGCCAGATAGCAGGCGAGCACAATCCCTAAAATTTGTATGAAGGCGATGCCGATGCCAACTCCAATCAGGATAACGGCATTCTTATCGATGCGCTCCTTCAGCTTGCCGACACAGCCCTCCTGGTAGTACTTGTCCTTGCCCAGGGCCGGAGACTCGGTGCAGTGCCCGACGGCGGCGTCAATGAACTGCGGCTGACAGCAGCTGGCCGGCAGCGTCTTGTTCAAGCTGAGGGCGCGCCAGTCGGCCGGAGTGTCCACGCCGCAGCACATCAGCTTGCGCTGCACATTGTCCCAGGCGATGGTGTCCTCGCTGTTGGAGCGCTTGATGGACTCCTGCAGCGAGTTCTTCAGCATGCCCTCCAGATCCTTCTTGAAAACGCTCGCCGCAATGCCCACGGCCAGCTCAATGATGAAGATGATGGCCAGCAGCACGGCATACTGTGGAGTGGGATTAGTGGTAAGTTCATGAAGTGAGGGAGTGTGAGCGAGAGGTGTATCTACCGTTAGCAGCAGCGTGGGCGACTCCTTGATGGCACCGAAGCAGCCCAGCGAGGCAATCAAAAATATGATCAGCCCCGTGACGATCAGCACAATGGGCGGCGCCATCACGCGTCCCTCCACAAAGTGATTGAACTCACGGACATCGGCCAGGACGATGGCGCCGGCCACCAAAATGCCCAAACCAGAAAGCTGCAGGACGCATGAAAAGAGGAAATGAAATGTTAGACAAGAATACAATTTAAAGTACAGGCTAGCAGATATCTGATGTTTCTTTTTTTCATAAATATACATATTTATTTATGAATATCCACTATGAAAATATTTTAATAAATATTATTTAAAAAAAAAAATGTCTAATAAAAGTACGAAATAAATAAAACAAAAATAAATTAAACTCATTCCGCGCCCGGATTCGAACCCAGGTCTGATGCTTTACTCTGGCTGTCGCTTGTATATCGACTATTAATATAGGTCAATTTGCATTGCTAATAAAATAGATTCATATCCCTTCAACCGCAGCCAGGATTTGAACCCAGGTCCTGTTGCTTCTCAGTGGAAGAACTGCCTTCCCATACAGCCAACGCATTATATTTTTGAGTCGCAGCTAAAGCGTCAATTCATATAAAGGTAAACTACTGGCTGCCGATTCAGCTCAATTCAATTTCAAGCTTCATTCTATTTATAGCATTGGTAAAATGTATAATGTCTATGTGGGATATGCAGGCAGAAAAAAACAACAAGCTTTTTGCCAATGTTCACATCTTATATGTCAAAAAATTTATATTTTGCTCATATTTTTTAAAGACAACAAAAATCATATTTAAAATATATGCATATATTAAAATTTATAAAATATCAAGTGGTTTAAAAATGTCGATTTTGTAGTGTTTCAATTTATAGTTTCGAGCGAAGGAGAACGTATACTCGTATACTCCTCTAAAAGAACAGCGAGCAGAGGGAGAGTGATCCTTGGGATAGTAATGGCTTTATCTAAAACTTTGCTGCAGCAAGGACTCTTCTGTGGCTGCTGATCAACAGTATATTTTGATATTTTTTCTACCTGTGCATGTTGCATACATTATAATATTCTGTTATTAGCTCTGAATGTTCATATTCAATGGTCACACACAAAAAAAACCCTGACAATCGATTTTCCCTTCAAAGAGCGGCTATTATACGGCCTATAACAAATCCAAAGCACAATTTGCTTAATGACCCATACAATCAGACCGACGCACTTGCTCACCGTGCACCTAATTGTGTCTGCGTGTGTGTGTGAACGTGTGTCTGTGTGCATGCGTGTGTGTTTGCCTGTATTAGCAACTATAATTGCCTGATAAGGCATCAGCCATTGCCATGGACATTGGCCAAGTCAATGGCATTTGCATGTCGTCATTTCTATTTCTCTTCCTCTGCTCATGCCGCTTCTGCTGCTGCTCTGCCTCTGCTGCTGCTGCTGCTCAAAGGGCTTAGCCTCGTGGCATTGAAATTTGTGTTGCCTACTTTTGAGCGCAGCGAATTAAATGCAATTTATCCATGTCTGCTTTATCCGTTTATCCACCATTATCCGCCACGCGCAATCAATTATCCAATGACATAATTTAATCTAGATTCACTTTTTAAAGAGCATCTAATTGCATGTCGTTTCTTTCGATTACATGTGCATACATTAAGTCCGAATCACGCAATAAAAAATGTAATTTTCCTTCTCTATCTATTATTTGATAAATAAATTAAGTTGGCAACAATTCATTAAGTGTTGACTTTAATTTTTGATGGCTTTATTGGTTTATTAGACCATTGGGTAATAGTTGATAGCTATTAATTCATAGTGGTTACTGTTTTATATATTTATTGTATATTTT